CAGAACCCGCTTCTTAGAAACCCTGGAAGTTCATTTCAGCAATACAATCTCTCTGTATGTACCTTCAAATCTCCTAAGACTTATTAGAGTTTATACTCAATTGAGCTTTAGCATTTTTTTCCTCAGTATGTCATGTGGATGATTCATGTTCCCTCATCTTAAGTGTAAGTTACTTGTGTAAAGGGTCAGCATCACAACTGGGAAAAGAAATGGCATATTCAAAATAGTATTAAAAGTTTTTTATATGAAGGGACCACTTATTAAAGACAAGGAATATGTAACAAACTGTGGCTAGTTATGGTTTAACCATTAATGCTTGAAGTGGGAAGGGGAGGAAGCTGTTACTAGAACCTAGAAGGAGGGAATCCTGTAGTTTTCACAGTAACAGAAGCAGTGAGTTTTAGTTGAGGAACCCAGCCAGACCCACAAGATTTCAATGAGTAGGAAATAATAAAATAAATACTGCTGACTATCTCTCTTCTCTTCGTTTATCTGGTTTCATAATGGCCATAGCCAACAAAAACTCAGAGGCCGTGGGTGTATTCTTATAACTCAAATAAAAGTTTGTCTTCCCAAAAGAGCAGACAAAGTCCCATCTGCTACTGTTTTACTGTAGAGTGGAATTAGTATAGTTATATACCTGTCCAAAATTTATAACTACAGCCAACCCTTGTGTTTTTCATATAAGGTTTTGGGGAAAATGACCCCATTAAGAGAAGAAATAAATTTATCATGTGGCCTCAATTGGTAATCATAGCTCCGTTCGTCAACTGCTCATTTCTTTTTCCCTTTACCTTCTGCCAGCTGTTTGACTGCACAGGTTATTTACCTTGTAGATCAACCCCAAACTTAATTCCTGCCAAATCTTATTCCTTTGCTTCTTTTCCTTAATTATATTGCTACAATTTCAGTTTCTCATTGAAATTGAAATTGGAATGTAGAAATATGGAATTGGAAAATGAGATGGAATTGTACAAAGCAGTATTTGTGAATCTGCTGAGTTCCAAATATATTATTCCCTGACATCCTTTGTGTAGTAAAGATACATTTTCTTCCTGGAAGATGAGATTTATCATCAGATCCAGCACAGCAACTATGTTTTCTCAGGGTTTTTTTCCTAGTCACGTTGAGCCCAAAATGGTCATGGGGAAATTTCAGCTTCCAATTCAGAGAAATAGAGTTATGACCATATACCCTGCTGGAGGCAATGCTCCCTTAGGTGTTAGGACTTCTAAACCCACTGAGCTCATTATCATGAGGACAAGAAAGAAAATGTGTCCAGTGAGTTATAGGTGTGATAGTGAAAGAGAAGTTCTATTCCTTTGTTCCTAGATTTGTGCTTCCTACCTATACAGGAAGGACACATGCACGCTATAGGATGACATTCCAACTTCAAGGTTGTTGTCAAACAAACAGTGCTGAAAGTGAGATAGAGCAGGCTATTTCACTCTTCTGTCAAGCCAGCTACCGGGGGAATATGATGAGACCAGTGAATTCCAGAATGCCATGGGTCTGAGCCCATTGCCACCCCCCTTTTTTTTTTTTGCTGCAATGTATTTCCTGCTTGGAGGTGAAATAGTGTGAGTTATCATAGTAATATATAAGTTATTCTGTAAGTCCATGAACAGCATGCTGATAAGTTTGCAAGCAGAAAAGACATATCTATAACTAGAATGTGTGTCTACCTCTGTAATGACAAAATTCTACCCTTTTTTGATGGAAGGGTTCCCATGTAATTCACCTGCCAACAGGTAATCAGCTGGTCCTGCTGGGAAATAATGCCATATGAAGAGTTTAGTGACAACTACTATTATTAGCAGGTAATCGTGGCTGCTAGAAGCAAATTGCCACGTACTCAGTGGTCATGGTATCCATCTAATTATTGAGAGCCTCCTCTGCTATAGATGTGCTCTGGTGGAAACTAAGTAGGACATTAATATCTTCACATTTTTACCCCCTCTGATAAGTCCATGCACTTATCTTTCCTTAAACTTCCTTGTCACTAATCTTCTAATTTTACTCTTCCCATATCGCTGATCAGGTGGCCATTTATTAGTTACTGTGCATGAGTCAGGATAAATCCATGCTTCAAGCCAAGTGTTTTTCCACGAGAAGTGGAGAACTAAGTATCTTGCTCAAAATTCTGCCAACTTGGAAAATTTACGTTTATTGTAGTCTTTTAATGCCGCTCCCAAGTCAGATTGTAGTACAGAGACTATCCAGTTCCAGCATGTTCAAGTATATCATGCAAACCTGTCCATAAACCAGGCCTGCACTTATTCTTCCTCTGCCAACTTGTGTTAAAAAACACATCTTGAAGCATAGATGTGAGATAAAGGAGAGAGGATAAATCAGAGGGTGCAATACTGTGGGCAGTTCACTATGTGTTCTGGCCCCATCCCATATATACCAGTTCTATGTTATAGTGGAATCTTGCTGTATGTGTTTAGTTTTATGGTCAATAAATCAGATAACAATCATTTCATGATGGACAGTTTGAGTTGCATAGCCACTTGGTATCCCATAGTCAGGCTAATTGTTTGTACCAGAGCCCAGTAGAGAGCTGCTTTTGAAGCAGAGAATATTTATCATCACAGGCAGAAATGGCCTTTCTCTAAAGCTTGTAATGCTTTTGCTTTGGTTGTCATATGGTGAGTGTCAGAAGCTCCACATAGCATTTGGCCATGGACACTTACATTACCAATGTATCTGCTGGGTCACAAGAAAGAGATGGTAGGGAAGGCTGTACCATGGCTTTGATCTGCTGCATAACCCTCTCCTTCTCAGGGCCTACTCAGAGCTGGCAGCTTTACAGGTTACCTGGGAAATAGAGCAAGGTAGCACATGTGAATGTGGTTTCTGTCATGCTTCAAAATCCAAAGAATCCAGTCTCTCTTTACTTTTATATAAGTATAGTCACAACAAATTTTCTCTCACTTTAGAATAAATACCCCAACGTATCCCAGACTACTAGATTCTAAACTCTTCCTTAGGGATGCAGACTTACATTTTACAGGAATTCATCTTACACTCTGCCTTTATGCAGAGGAAAGCTAGCTCCTTATGTTAAACGTTGCCTCTGTCAGTAAGAAGACTTGTGGGAATCTTGAGGTTCAAAAATCTTCAGCCATAAGATTAGATACACATAGAAATGTTCCACTTGATAATGTGTTATTTATGAGACAGGTCCAGAAAGCATAAGAATACTGCACATATTTACCCAGGCATCCTTATCCTTTGTGTTAGGGTTTCAGTACTTCTCCACCAATATATCTAACTTAGCTTTAAAAACAGGTGGAGTTGAGCCCCTAATTTGTGTTGCAGCTCTGCAACCCTGTCTATGTTCTCTTGGACTCAGCTGTATCTGTCCTGCAACTAGAGAAAAGAGGGACTCCTTCAAAGATGCCGTGGTAGCCTTTTCTATATTTCTTATTTTGTGGCCATGGTTTCAATTTCTGTTTATTCCTGTGTAATCTCTTTGAGTTGTCATAAGAACCATGGACACTTCACTTTACAATCTTTACAGTTGCCATTGTTGTAGCAACTAAGTGCCACAACCACTTGTCCTCCAAACACCTTTTCTCTCTATCTGCATTTCATGCTATGTCATCACCAGTGACAATTGATTTCTCATGATTCCATCCCTTGCTGTGTATTATCTATGCTCCAGTTTCCCCCTTGAAAGGTTTATTATTTCATCAAAGATTGTACAGGAATAGATATAGATATAGATATGGATGTAGGTATAGATATGGATATATTACTAACCTAATCACAAAATTGTATTTTGAAGATCTCTTTTCTGAGTCTACTGCTGGTATTAATCACTGTATCAGTCAGACTCCCAAAACGACAGAGTTGGCACAATCAATAATTTGAAGAGGATTTATTTACAAAGGGACTATCTACGAAAGTAAAGGTATAGGGGAACCCTAAGATACAGAGCTATAATCTAGACTAGTAACAGCAAAGCTGTTACTACCCTGTGATCATGGCGATGAGCCCTTACCAGACAAAAAAGGAGAAAATTGTGTAGAGGAGGCTGCAGTGACAGGGGTAGTGACATCATTTAAAGCACACAGCAAGCTTGAAGTGATATTTTAGGATAGAACCAAGGGAATAAGTACTCTGACTTACTCTCCTTCAAGTCTCTTTCCAAAGTCCCATAATGGTCATGTTTTAGAGGACATAGGAGCCCTTTTGATGTAGTTCATGCCAGTTAATTTTCTGGGCTAGAAAGCAGTTGTAGACAAATGGATAGTGTATCTGGAGTCACATGAGAGATATCTAGTGTGTATATATATATTATTTTTTTTTTTTGCTGAAGAAGATTCACCTTGAGCTAACATCTGTTGCCAATCTTCCTCTTTTTTTTTTCATTTTTTGCTTGAGGAAGATTCTCCCTGAGCTGACATACATCACCAATCGTCCTCTATTTTGTATGTGGGTCACCACCACAGCATGGCCACCAACAAGTGATGTAGGCCCATACCCGGGAACCGAACCTGGGTCACCAAAGCAGAGTGTGCTGAACTTAACCACTAGGCCATGGGGCTGGCCCAGTGTATTTCTTATTCTATTTTCATGGGGCTTAAAATAATTTAATGAATCTAGTGGATATTCAGCTTGTTTGACGATGAGAGGATGGAAATATGATTGAATGCAAATATGAATGAATGGTGACATGAATATGGTTTTATGTCAGGTTTCAGTATTCAATTAATGTTCTTATTCTTTTTACTCTGGTAGTATTTTCATCTCTGTTCACATTGCTGACAGTCCATGAAAGCTTGATTTCCTTGCTTCATTCTTTCCTTCCTTTGCATCTGCTTTTCCTGGCATTAAAAGGGTAACTCAGAGAATTATCCATGAATTTGGATAAAATCCAATGCACTGTGTAGAAAATATGTGTGTACTATGGAGATTTCAAGGACAGATGTTTGTGGGTAACTGAACCCACAGCTCTACAGTTGGTTTCAAATAACACTCGTTTATTCTAGAGGAACTTCTACATTCTCACATCGCCCACTGGTGGTCACCAGATGGAGAAAGGCTTGCCTTCCTGATGATAAATGACTCGTTGGTGCCTAACATGGTTATCCCTCGGTTTACTGGAGCATTGTATCCCAAAGGAAAGCAGTATCCATACCCTAAGGTAAGTAATGTGGGAGTGCTACTTTGTTCCCTCTCTCTGTGCACCAGTGACTTGATTGATAGTATTGTGAACAAGTTGTCTTTGGAGAAAAAAAGAAGCTCACCTTCCTTGTCGGCAGACTCATCATTTTAGAGCTTGCAGTGGTCTTTACACGGTGCTTGGGTAGGAAGAGATAAAGGTGATTCAGAGGTGTGGCAACTTTCGCTTTTGCCGTATTTTTTTCCATTTGATGCTCTCATTTTGTTTATGCCCACTTTCCCAGTTGAAAAGAGGGGAAGAAGAGATGAGGGGCATCATTGATACCAGGTCAAGGGTTTCCCTAAGTCATGGTCTATGAGTTAATAGGTGCTATAAAGGAGCAAAAAGTGCCATGGTCAAATAAGTTGGAAGTTCTTAGTTAAAAAAATCTAACTTCCTTTAGGTGATTTTTTAGAGCACTTAATATACTATATGTTAATGTGTTTTATAAATCTCTTATAAAAATAAAGTAAGCATAAAGAATCTACAGTAAGGAATAGATTTAGCGTAAAGAATCTCAATAAAGAATAGACTAATAAAGAACCACCAATATAGAATATACTAAGCCTAAAAAATTTATTGGTATTAGTATTAACATCAATATTATTTTGGCAAAGCATACTCTGGAACATTATACTATACATATTTTATAAAATGCTGGAGAATAACCTCAGCCAGGCATACCTAGAATACATAGAATTATTTTATTGAGTGAAGCAAATATGGAAATCCTGCCCAGACAGCAAAACTATCTTCAAATGCTGGGTGAGCCCTCTGGGAGCAGGTTGCAAAAACATCTGCAGTGTACTGGTTTTTCTATTGTATGCCATTTTTAATTGCTTAAGGTCTCTTTTTTAAAATTTATTTTCCCCATGTTTACATAGCAAAGAAAAAGGCTCGTGTTGAGTGAGGCCCCCTGCGCGTTAGTCTTGTAAAGATATCTTATAGAAAACTTCTTCAATTCCACTTTGTGCATTTAGCTCCTAATTATGTAAGAGATGGCTGCTGATTTCATTTAAAAGCTGCTTTGAAGCCTTTCCTTCAGTGAGTTGCACTATGTGTTTACCAAGCATGCTAGGTTTTATACCCTTCAATTTGTGCCTTATGTTAACTGGGCAAAGAACTGGACAAATTGAGAGGAATTTGATTCTGTGACTTTGAAATATTATTTCCAAGGTCTTCTCTGGACATAGATTAGAAGGCATATAAATACTCAGTGCTCTTCAGGAAGAAATGGCAATTTGACCTAGCAACAAAATAATCATATTCATCAAGAGATTTTTATTGTGCTCCAAGAAAGTACTTATGACTTTTCCAATTATAGATTTAGCCATATTTTATGGATGATAGTTTGTGACTGTGCAGCATACCTGAACCTAGTTTTTTCAGAGGAAAAACTGAAAAGACTTCTCAAATATATTAATTATCATTATTTGACTTATTTATTATAATGTCAGTTCTCTTGACAATTTAAATACAAAATGAAGAACTAGTGGCATATTGTGGAAGACACATGTCAATAGGCAAGGAATTCAAGCCCAAATGTTCAGCCGGTGCACTGCACAAAGGTAATAAATCAGCCCAAGGGAAGGGACAACACTTTGTAACTCATTTCCCAAGAGGAGTGGGAGTTTTAGGATCCCCACATAAAAGCCACCCATAATAGCTGCATCTTCAAGTTGCCTTCTCAGTTATGGACCCTTGGTGCTTGAACTTGGGCACCTCTAGCCCTCATAATTTTAACAAGACTGACTCAAACAAATGGACAAATAGAAGCATCTGAGAAAATTTAAAAATGTCAGCAGTAATTGAGAAGAAACTGGGTTGACAAACCTAGACACTTGGTTATTGTTTAATGTTATTAATTAATTAATATTTCTCAATAGTAAAGCTAGGTATAAAATAATAATAGTATTTGTTTATTAATTGTATAAATTATGTTTGTTAATAATATGCTTTACGTTTTCCGAGAGACTTCTCACTTCTTTTCTTTCTGGTTCGGTCCTCTCCACAATTGCCTTTATTTTCCAATGGACAAACTGAGCTTCTAAAAGGCTAAGAAGTTCTTTTATAAAAGTCACAGTTATTTTAAGAAGAGAGAAATAACTCAAATTTATTGATTCTGTCCCTTTCTGTAAAACTACCAGAGGTTAACTTGTAACTCAGAAGACGAAGCTAGAATGAAAATCTCTCTTCGTCAAGTTGATAAATACGTGTGAACTCGGTTTGCTCCATTTACTGAGAATGACTTAGCCATGTATGAGTAGTGTACTTGGACAGCCTCGCAGCTGCCATTTATGTAGATACATGTGTGTATATATATATATATATATGTGTGTGTGTGTGTGTGTGTATATGTAATACCTGATGTATGTAATACATAATGAAAGTGCTTAGTGTGTGTTAATGACTACTATTGAGGAGTATTAAAAATTTAAAAAGGACAGATATTCCAGTGGTCAAAGCTGAGAGAAAGAATCCCAAGTCCTCAGGTGGTTTTCAGTAGGAATACCTTCCCAGTGCTTAACACAACAGGACTCAAAAAAACTAGGTGTACAGAGCCAGCTCAGTGGTGCAGCAGTTAAGTCTGCACATTCTGCTTTGGCGGCCCAGGGTTCGCCAGTTTGGATCCCGGATGCGGACCTACACGTGGCTTATCAAGCCAAGCTGTGGCAGGTGTCCCATACATAAAGTAGAGGAAGATGGGCATGGATATTAGCTCAGGACCAGTCTTCCTCAGCAAAAAGAGGAGGATTGGTGGCAGATGTTAGCTCAGGGGCTAATCTTCCTCAAAAAAAAAAAAGAAAGAAAGAAACTAGCTCTGGGTTTTGGTCCTTGTTCCTAGAATAAATTTCAGTATCATTTTGGATAGATTACTTTATTTTCAAAGTCTCATTATTTTCTACTCTGTTTTTTTAAAAAAATGTTTGTTCTACTAACAAATGGATTATTTTGATTTGTTCTTACTTATGCAATAAACTTTTGAAAAGTAGTACTTTAGACATGGAAGTAATGCATAGAGTTCACACTAAATTGTGCTTCAAATTAAACTAGATTAAAATGAGTGCAGCAAATACCCAATGTGGTCATATTTACTAATGAAAGACTTACAACAAATATATTTGTATTTTACTTAATTCAGCGTGATTCAGAACTCACAAAATGCCCTATCATTAGCAATTCAGCACAAAAGAGATACACAGTTCCAACTCACTAACCTCAGGTTAATCTTCTTAATTAAAACGTTATCTCACTTAATGACAATTTAGTTGCCAGTAAAATAAGGTTAATTATTATTGGAGGCTTGTGTTTCAGAATCATAGAGGAAAGAGTTTGTGGAATTGCAGTCTTTGTGGCAAAAGTGTCTGAAAAGGCAAATAGATGAACTCGTCTAATTTGCAAACTACTGAAATGATTCAAATATTACAAGGAACAAATGAATTTGCAAAATGCACCTAATGTCAAACCTCCATGGAAAGATAAAAATCTAATTGAGATGATAGAAGGCTGGACAGCTGAATTTTGGAAATGTCCTGATGTTGGTTTTTTGTCTAAAATTGACCACATGTGTGCGAAACTTTTAATTTATTTCCTTATAGAAGCTAATTCGGATGTCAGTGGCCTTGTACACAGATAAACTTACAGTGCAAAGGATGTGAAAAAAGTCACTTTTATAGATCATCTTTTTCTTCACATAAAACTATGGGATATTTTTATCTACAAAAAGGAAGCCTACTTTGGCTCAAAATTTCTGACTGGTGACATCCTCTCAGAGAAGTGTTGTTTCATTTTTGGTGATGAAAGAAAATAATACTTGAGGATCCTTAGCATCCTGTCTATGGTTTATATCCAGTAAATAATGGTTAAAATTTTTTGAACCGAGGTTTCTCTGAGTCACAGATTAAGCTAAACCAGGTCTCAAAATGTGGTCCTTTTACCAGCGGTGTCAGCCTCATCTGGGAAATTATTAGAAACACAAATTCTCATGTCCCACAAAGATGTTAGGAAAGCTGAAGGTGGGCCTCAGCAATCAGTAGAAAAAAAGCCCTCCAGGCCTGCTGGGGGATTCTGGTGCTGGCTGATAACCTCTGAGCTGTTAACCTTTGATAACCACTGAGCATACTATAAATATATATATATATATATATATATATATATATATATATATAAGAGTTTTATCAAAATTTGGATACTATTGATAGTTACCTGGGAATCTTGTTAAAACACGGATTCTTAGGCACACACCCAGAGTGATTCTGAAGCTGATATTAGGTCTGAGTGGGGCCCATGAATTTATGTTTCTGAGGTTCCAAATGATGCCGCTCCTCAAAGAACAATGCTTTGAACGGCAGTACTAATTAGTACGTCCCAGCTCTAAAGTGTAACATACCTGATCAAGCTAGAGAAATGGTTAGACCAAAAAAATATGGAAAAGCCAATATTTTCAGGGTGGAACAAGGCAATTAAATTAAAACGAGTGCTGTGAAAGGCAGCGCCTATGTGCAGTAGAAGGCTAAATTGCCCGAGACAAATGTGCTCAGGCACTTGAGGGTTGTAGAGCAATGAAAAGCTTTACAAAATCTGACACCAGAGCCCTTTCTGTGAGGCAAGCCCATAGCTTATCTTCCAGGAAGCCTTACTCTGTGAACCACTTTCACAATCTCTCTTAATAGCCATTGCATTTCCGTAGTGAAAACCTGTCTGACTCCTTTCTTTGGCTCAAAATTTCTAACTATGGATGATGTACTTCCACAGATGTGCTAGTCATTTTTTTATTGGCTTTATTTTTTAAAGCAGTTTAAGGTTCACAGAAAAACAGAATAAAGTACAGAGATTTCCCCCATGCCCCTTACCTCCACACGTGCATAGCCTCCCCCATCATCAACATCTTCTACCAGAATCGTACGTTTGTTACAATTGATAAACGTACAGTGACATGTCATAATCATCCGAAGTCCATAGTTTGCACTATAGTTCATGCTTGATGTACATTATATGGGTTTGGGAAAATGTATAATGACGTGTATCCATCATTATAGTACATTTAGAGTATTTTTCACAGTCTTAAAAATCCTCTGTGCTCTGCCCATTCATCCCTCTACCCTCCTCTCTGTGCTAGTCATTTTTAATAACTTAACAAAATAGTTCATGAGGAGCTGTTACTGACTATTGATGGAGTTTATGATGTTGCTTCTGGTTCTGATTTAACTCTGGCTTTTATGGATGCCAATTCCTTAAACATGAATCTTTTTCATTTTTAAATCAGTTTTATCATTCTCTAGATTTTTTTCAGGTCTTTTAATTCAACTCACTTTTAATTTCCTTGTCCTTCTTTGTATATCTTGTATAGTCTTCTCTTATGGCATCAGCCACACCACAATGATATCAGTGTATTATTTAGAAACACACTGGGCCGCAAGGAGTCCACTGGTTCTGTAAATCACTTATCACATAAACATTCATTCTCTCCTTCATTCATTCATTCAAACTGCTTGAGATGTGTTGTGAAAGCTTCCGTTTCTGTCCACTAAGCAGTCACCATATATTTAGAAAAACTTTGGAGTTCATTGTCTAGGAATGAACTGAGGCAAAGCTACAGCAGGTAAGAGCATCCTGGGTTTAAACACTGGCTCCCTCAATTATTGGACATTTCACCTTGCACAGTTTGCTTAGCTTCTCCATTTTCATCTGAAAAATTGTTACAATTATATCTTAGGGCTGTAGTAGAAACATTTAATAATATAGTTCATGTAATGCCTTTAACGCATTCTATGAGCCATATGCATATTAACTGCTATACAGGCTAGTTATTATTTCATAAATTTTGATTTGCTAAATTCAAATTACATGTTCGTACCACAATCTTTCTACTCTTCATGCCAGAAACAGGGAGGGCGGTCCACTTCACAGCCACCTCTCAAGGGCCACCTATACCCTATCTAGTATTCATCAAGTTCGAAAGAAAACCTGGGATGATTAACGCAATAGAAGTAGATTAGGTATTGTGAAATTTTAAGCATGTGGCACCTGAATTGGGTAGATCTTTTTTTCTTATTTCTTCGTCTTTTTTTATAATTAGCCGAGCTTTATTTCCATTGCATTTTACATCCTCTAATGCGAGTAGCTGCTTGATCTGCTAGTAGTTTTGTAAAGCCAGTCCTGACAGTGTCATTCTAGGAAAAGAACACTGCAGCACTGCCCAATGAATAAAGTCATCATGATTTCCTATCACCTTTAATTGTCTGACTAAAATGCTTGAGAAGCAGCAATCTACAAAAACAATTGAAAGCAATCAAGTTGTTGAATTTAGAGTCATTTTTGCTTCAGAGAAATTAAACTTTTTTCCCCATTCTAACACAAAATTGTAAAAGAATCAACACGCATTTTCTTCTTTTCTCAATAGATTCTAATGCTTAATGTCATTGCATTACAACTTTCATTTTCTCAAAGGCAGGTCAAGTGAACCCAACAATCAAATTATATGTTGTAAACCTATATGGACCGACTCATACTTTGGAACTCATGCCACCTGACAGCTTTAAATCAAGGTATGCAATTACAATTTCACTTTTACGGGAAATAAATATTTTAACTCCAATTATCATTTTGTTGCAATTTAGAGAGAGATGTGATCAGCTCAACAAATCCACTTGAAAATAAAGCTGAGGTTACCTATGTTAGTGAAGAAATGAACTCCTCCTTGGCGTCTTGTTGTTCCTAGGAACCATTTAAAGTTTCAAGGTGATCCACAGCACCACAAAATGACTAAATATACCGATAGTGAGCATTGGACCTTTGGCAGGAGACATGACAGAAAGACTGAGGCAAAGAATAATTATCCATTGGATTTCCCGCCTGAAAATAGTCATTCTATTTTTTTAAATGATTCTCTTTGAAAGAGTACAATCTTCCTAAAATTTGTGTAATTTTTCTAACGTTCCCCACACAGCTTGCCAATGATTCCCTAGTTTACTTCTCCAGGCAGGTAAATTTAATTAGATTTTGTTTCAAACTGTCCTACATACAGAAGACTTTATCTAAGAAATTTGAGTGGGGAGAAAAGGAACACGTTTTGTATGTCAGAAACATAATTTTAATATTGGCAAAATCTCCAGTAGTAAACAACTAATCCAAAAGTCATGTGGATTTTAAAATCCAGAGTGGTCTCAAACTTCAAGGGTGATTCTTTCAAATATCGCATCCCTTTGAAAATTTACAACAGTCCTCGAGATGGGATAGGTGGCAAATTTAAGAAAATAGTTTCACGCTATATTGAATGATACGGGGCTAAGCTCAAGTTTGTTTTGACGACGTCAACAATCAACACAAGGTGACTGATACAAACAGAAATGCTACTCATATGTTGTTTCATTGATAAATTTGAGAAATTTTCATCACAATGGGAGATTTTCACAGACACTGCAGCCTGCAGTTTGTGGAACTTTTTCCTTCTTGAGAAGGTAATAAAAATATATGGAATGCTTACACTGGAAGAGTCCATAGTGACTACCTATTGTAAACTGTTCTTTTTATTGATGGGAAAGATAAGGCCCAGAGAGAAGAAAAATGATTGAGATCGAACCTCGGCATTAGTTGGCAGCAGAGATAGAAAATGAGGTAGAGCCAGTTTCAGGTTACAGAACATTTCATCATGTTGTGCTGGAAGACCCTAAGGGCTATCAGAACTGACATAGGTAATGCAGTATCTGAACTCGGTCTACCAGCCATGAAAGATTTAGTCACAAATAAAGCAATTATGGACACTATTGATACTTTATGTCATTGTTAATTCTTATCTTTTTCTCTGATTTGTTTCATGCTCAGAATTCACAGGAAAGGGCACTAGTCTAGAATGTTTGAGTCATATCTCTACCACCACTTCATCGTGTGACCTTGGACAAGTCATTTTACCTCTCGCTGGTCCTGAATACCCTAATCCTCAAATAACACTTTCTAATTTTTATCAGTTATTTTTTTTAATTTTTGAAATGGAGGTCAATTTTACAATATCTGGGTTTCTTTCTAATAGAAGGTCGTGATTCCTGCCCTTAATTTTGTTACCAAAATGGATTTCTAATGAGTTCACTAGATAGTAGAGTGTCATCAAAAACAAAAATTTCTAAAGACAGAATCAATTGTCATTTATTGTAGTCTTAATAGAGTATATATCTCTTTAATATTTGAAGTACATATGGTCAAATTAGTCACTCATTGGAAAAAGATATTACATACCCTTGAAGGTTGGAAGTTCAGTACACAAAATAATATAACGGGTTCCACTGAGAGTGAGGGAGAATCCTATAAAGAAAAAGCCCCTAAATGTAATTTGGATGTCTTGGTTTAGCAATGAACTTAGTCCGCAATTTGAGGAGAGTCATATAATATTTCACCTGCACAATGTACATGACGGTTTTGCTTCTCCTGCCTCATGGTCTTATGTAAGTGCCAACTGTAGTATGTGAAATGCACCAAAGTGTCTGACTTACTCTTTTTATTGGAAAACTCAAGATCAAAATTTGCTTCAAAACGAGTTTTTTAAAATATTCCCAATGCTTCAGTTTTACAGAAATATATTTCCTTCCTCATCTGTTCCTGGTGAAAGCTTTAGTTTGGTTCACAGAAAAGGAGGATAATTAGTGAACTTTACATCATGCGCATTTAGCCACTCTGAGCACAGGTATTACTTGCATGGATCCAGGAACATACAAACACGAAAAACATAGAGATAGCCATGACGTGAATCAAAGAATGATGCATTCATATAGCTGCACATCAGATGAAAGTTAAACTCTTTTTTTCCCTTGCTTTTCTTTTAGGGTCATTCATATCTCTGATATTTAATACTTAGTACTTTACCCGTATGGAAATTTGCTGTAAAACTGTTGTGCCCTCCATAGGTAGAGAGATGCTTAAGATCTAAAACAGCATATCATATTTCATAATTTATTGGTCAGGGTCCTGGAAATTAAAGAGATGAGACACTCAAAGGGGTAATTGAAATGCAATTATGTAAGGGGCTATTAACACAGGTGTGGGCAGGATTAAGAGTACACTCACAAGGGATGGGAAAGCAACATAGAATTTACAACAGCAGAAAGCTATTACAGACCCAGGACTGAAGGAGCAAGAGGCAAGCTCACTTGCAAAACCTGAAGAGGCATGTAGCTGCAGAGCAGAATGGGCTAGGACAACCTGTCCATTGGTAGAGCAATTCAGTCTTCCAAACCATGCCCTAGTAAGGAGAGGGTCCTGGGAATAAATACCTTGAACTCCTCTCAAGCTCTGAGTTCCTGCAGAGGCCTCCCTTAGGCAAGGCAGCCTCATTGTAGAGTCTAGCCTCCGGAAACTGATGGGAAGCAAGTTGGAGAATGGAGCTGGCAAATAGAGAATATTCAACACAAATAATTTAAGGGTAATATTTTCCTTAAGAATTGCATCGTTGTTATTACTTTAGGGATGTGCTGAAGATGTCCACAAAAACACGTGATAATTTTTCTGAAGCCATGTGAGACGTGGTCTGAATCTGTTTCTGGTTCTGATTTTGTCTCTAGTCTTTCTCTGTATGTATGTGTCTTTCAATCTTCTCTCTCTCTCTCTCTACACACACACACACACACATACACACATCTATGGTTTATCTAAGAAATATTTGTACTTCTCTTGAAAACGTGTCATAGTTTTCTCACGTGCATTGTAGATCATGTAACTACAGTCACGCATCGCTTAACGACTGGGATACTTTCTGAGAAATGCATCACAATGTGATTTCATCAATGTGTCATCACAGAGTGCACTTACTCAAACCTAGAAGATATAGCCTACTATACACCTAGGCTATATGGTACTAATCTTATGGGATCACCATTGTATATGAGATTCTTCATTGACTGAAACATTGTTATGGGGTGTATGACTGCATAGGGTGAAAGATTAGTAAGATAAATATAGAAAAATATTCTCTTATGACTTGAGCTACCTTATAAACTGTAGTCCCCTAACCTCATCACAGAGAACAAGATTTGTTCTGAATTTGAAGGTGTTAGTCATTTGTTTTAGTCTGGTGATTGTTTATTTGGTTGGTTGAGTTATTTATTTATAACAACTAGTGTTCATAATTATAATAGATAAAGATCCCCAAGCTAGAACTTCCATTCAACCAGATACTTATACTCTAGTCAAAGACTATAAAATAAATTTCAATTTATTTATATGCTTTTAAAATGGAATTAAAAGAATAACTTGGAGAAAGTCATGATTTCTTTTCCTAATTCCTTCTTCCACATACCCTTCATTTAAAAAATAAATATTCGTGATTCAGCTAAAGATCCTTCATTAAACAAATTCAAGTTATGAATGCAACTTTGATTTGCTACTCATCTTTATTTTAATTATGGTCTATGTTGATTCTTCAGAAGGTAGCATGGTAGGGACCAAGATAGTGGCCCTTGTTGAATCTCCCCAGACCTGGTGGGAGTTAGATGATTCATCTCATTTTAAGAAATATTTTGCAAACTGTTATACTACGAGCTTAAGGCATTGTAAGCATTTACTACCTTTATTGGAAAACTTAGGTATGAATTTCAAAATACATAGTTAAGTTCTAGAGGAAAGATTTTTTATAATAATGAACTATGTAGATTTTTCCATAGCTAAGTATTTGTCAAATTGTTTTGAGGAAGAGATTATCCTTTGTGCTCATACGTCTCCAGGCTGAAGAATAAAGGTAGTGGTTTGTCTTTGATTTCTCCTTACTCTTTGACATTGTTATATTTATCTGAAATCTTTCTTTAGTCAGCCACCCTTTGTGATCCATTGTTCTCAGCCAGTATCATTGATACGACGTTGTCATATTGCCCTGTCATTCTGGATTTCACACTGCTGTGCTTTGTCTTCCTGTTTCATTGAAATCTGTCTAGTCTACATCTCTTATTCTGCCAAGAAAAATTTGTGCCTTCTAATAAAATCTAATTAACCAATTTACCTATGTTCATAGGAACATCTTAAATGACCCTCCTTACAAGTAATGCTTGGTTATTAACAGAGGTCTTTGGAGAACACCAGCTATGAGTTGGTCAGGGATGCCATCACAATACTCTTATGGACAGATATCTGGAAAAGAATGAGCTCAGAGTAACTATACATGTACAAAAATTGTTGTGAACAAAGAGTAGTGATTGGACAGGGAGCCAATGAAAACACAAGTGTAACTGCTAACATACCTATCTGCTGGTGATGCTGAGGCCTCCGTTCCACATACCCTTGTGAACAATTAGATCTCTTGTGCCAGACCACCCAGCTAATAGAAAGTCTTTCTTGAGTGCAATCCTCCTAACCTGCTTGTCTCTGTCTCTGTGGCTCAAGAGGACCAGATCCTCGAGGACTTCCTGGGTAATCCAGAGCCATGGAGACTAGGAACAAGCAGGAAAGCCAATTATAAGGAAGGGACACTTTCGCTGGCCACTGGTCGTGAGACACCAGATCTAATGTGTTCATGAGATGGAGATCCAGGAGGACAGCCACATCTGCAGCAGGCAGGCCAAGGAGTGTCACATTTCCAGGTAAGGGCACTTCCTACTCCCTCGTTCAGAGGAAGCCTGAATATTTAGGCGCAAACTGCATAAATGTGATTCATAAGGAGGTGTGCACCTAGGATCCTGGGACTAAGAAAGAAAGAATACAGAATGTGATTTAGTTAGTAAATGTACCTTTCCACCTTTCTTATGTGTCAAGCTGTACTTTAACTTTCAGTTTGGATATTTCCAACACTTCATCATGGAAATTTCAATGGTTTCAAATTACCATTGAAAGACATTACAAATTCAATTTTGGGAAGAACTCTCATTCTTATAGATAAGATATATACTAAGATACCTCATATAAGACTAAATTTTGCTTGTGAACATAAGATAGATTATGCACAAATACATAAAATAATCAAATTATTCAATGAAAGAGAAATATAAGTGGTATGACTGTAAATTAATGATTTTTAACTTAATTTTATGCCTGTGTTAGTGTTCCCTTTAAAAAATTATTTATTCACCAAATTTGCACTGAATTTTAATTGCTTTTCAAACATAAAATATTTTTTAAAAGTCAAGATTTTCCATCATAATTAATAAATATAATGTATCAATGTCTGGTAAAGACATTGCAAAGAAGATGTTCTTGCATCATTTTACTTGAGGGCTACTTTGAAAGGGAAAACACTCAAGATGAGTATTTTTATTCTAATTTTTGGTGTTATTTATTTTAAAAATCATTCATATTAGTTTGTCATCTCACTTGGCACAAATATAATATTACTCATTTAAGCTAATTGAGACAAATTTCTGATTGGATTTGAAAATCTTCTGTATGCCACTTCTTTACATCTAGATTTCTCCATAAATATGACCTCCATGATTTTGCAGTCTTTGGTCAGTTGTTTACAATAGTCAAATTAATTTTTACTTCAATTTTGAACAATGTTTATACCAATTAATCAAAAATGTATACTGTCAGAATTTAGCACTTTTTTCCTGATTGATTACAGTACTCATTATCAATTTTCTCCATGCTAAATCTTCTAGATAAATCTATAAATGGTTAATACTTGTATTTTCCTCTTTTTAATATTCACACTGCCAGATATGATAATCATGCAAAATAAATCAGCTTAAACAAAACACTGTGAGAGTCAGCAAGACATTGTCTTTGAAGAATTGCAAGGTTCATTGATTTGGCCAAAGATTAATCCTAAACTAGTTGCATATTTGATTCAAAGTTGCCTTGTTAACTCTATTTAGAGAACTTCATGTTATGATTTCACTGAGGTTCTAAGAAATTTTCTAGTGGGACTAAGCTGATTGTGAAAGCTGCCAGATGTCTTGAATACATTGCTTGACAAAATATGGCAGACTTCACTGTATGAGAAGTCATACTTGCCCTTCTACTGACATCTTCACTATGATGGGCTAAGGGATCTTCCAGAGGAAGTGGTGGCTACTCAGTAATGTCAGACATGTAAGATTCATGTAGCTGAATGTCTAACCCAGATGTATCTAAGGACAGGTGATTTGTATCACAACGGTTTTCTTCCATAGGTGATTTTCTCTAAGTCACATAAAAACTGGGTAAATTAATTTTAGGACAATACTCCGGGGTGGCGCCTTTCAAGCCATTTCTAAAGCATTTCATCTATTCTGAAACTGGGCAAATTTGTTGAAACATCATTGCTTTTTCTTTTTATCATAAATTGAATCAAAATTGATAATTATATTTTGTACTGTGGCAGAGAGGGGGTGTTGTGGTATATCATGTAAAATTCCAAACATATAATCTACAATGAAAGAAATAAAAACTATAAATAAAAAAATGTAAACTTTCCCAATCTAGAAGCAGCCTGAGGACATCATGGGCATGGTAATTAGCATCCTCACTATACCAAAAATTCAAGAGCCCGTTATTTCCTTCAGTTTGATTCATTGTTTGTTTTAAATGGTTTACACATAAGTAAGATTTTAAAAAAACTGTAAACACTATTGTGAATAAGATTGAGACTGGTCCTCAGCGTACATCTGACAAAGATAAAAACAAACCATTCATAACACTGTAGTCCAAGTCTTCATGGATAAAGTGAAATAACATGAAAGTCATGCACAAGAAATTAATAGTAAGTCAAGAATAAGCTTTGTCTTTTAATTGATTATTGAATGTATTTTTAAAGAAATAAAACACGGAATAGCTTAGAAAATTTATACTTATTTTGCATATATGTTAGGACTAATTAATAGAAAATAACAAATTATCCATAAATGTCTAGCATCTTGATTATTTTTATTTTTCCAAGGATCACTTCTCTGGGAAATTATTAACTTTCAAATTTATTATCAAATTTTTTGTATATGTGTATATGTATGTATGTAGGCATGTGTTACATACATACACACAAATATGTGTGTATATATTGGTATGTACATTTGAAAAAGCAGATCTATATATACATAAACATAAATTAATATGGTGTGACATCTTAAGAGTGATTCATTTATTCTTGCATATAAAATAATAAGTGTATATTGTTGGTACTATACAGGTTCTCTGGCTCTAAATGTAAATTTTAATTGTGTTTCCAAACTAGAGAATACTATATCACTATGGTTAAATGGGTAAGCAATACCAAGACGGTGGTCAGATGGTTAAACCGGCCTCAGAACATCTCCATCCTCACAGTCTGTGAGACCACTACTGGTGCTTGTAGTAGAGTGAGTATAATTTATTTTCCTTTTATGCTTAAAATGAAGTAGATTTTGCTACCTTTCAAGGGGAAATCAGGCAATCCTTTGTGCAAAGACTTCAATATTTAACTTCCAAAGGTAGTAGAAAAAGAGTCCTTCTATTAGGATTACATACTTCAATCCATAAGCTCCCAACTTTGAAATAAGAAATATAGATGATAAACAGAGGAAAACAACCTGAGCTTTAAGAAAATGAATTCTTATATATTACAAAGGATAATCCAAGCCACACTAGTTTTATTCTCAAAGATGAGCTTTCTCTAGATATTTTAACTTCGATTAATTTGAGAATATGAAGTGTGTCTTTCCTATCTTCTTTAAACACATTCCAAAAGTTCTTTTTTTTTCTATAGCTCAGATCAGTCTTCTAAAATAAAAAACTGTGTCTCTGTCCTTAAATTAAGTAAAAATAGTGAGAAAAAATTGGTTCCTAAACCACTGTGTTTTGAAAGGAGATTGTGTTTTGATTTCTGTAGATGGTATTTTGATTTCTGAAATACTGTAATAAGTTTAAATTGTTATATTATGCACTTGGTACATGGTAAAGGATTCTCGATTATTTAACAACAGAATGTTCAGACTTCTGCTTCTGCACACGATGGAATAAATGTTATCAGACTAGCATCCCTGCTGTAATCAACTATGAAACTGTACAAAACACATGAACTATTTGCAGATGTTGGACACCAGGAGTGTAAGGACAGAAATGATGAAATAAAGTAAATGCACAAGATGAGCCTATTTATGACTTCCTATGAGTGATATTTTTGAGACCATCTTGCAAGGAGAGGGAGCCCAAGCAAAGCACAGTGGTATCACTAATCCAAGAAGGCAGCAAGAATCAGAATTTGAGGCTATTGTGGTGGCTGAAATTTGCAGGGCAAGTACCAAAGGATTCAGAACTACAAAGAGAAGAGCTCCGGTAATCTATATAAGGGACCTCGTAAGGCTTTAACTCAATGCCTAGCTGTGCAAGCGCAGGACATGCCTCAGAGAGAGAGAAGCCAATAGAGAATCTGCAGGTTGCGTAATGCTTGGAGATTTTGGAGTTCTGAATAGCAAAATTAGAGCGCTTTCACTGAAAACCCTATGAATTCAACTCAGAGCCCGGAAGGACAATGTATTAGGACTAGAGCTGTTCTAGACTCCTTCAAGTAAACCTTTAAATCAAACCTTGAAGGAATCAAGTCCATCTGCTTGTAAATTAGCTGTCTGCCAGAACAAAGTTTACTATTTTAAAAGGAAAATCAAGAAAAAAATCAACTCTCAGAAATGTAACATTTATTATACCAATCAGTAATAAAAACATACTATCTATGTAGAGATATAGAAAATATAACACACTCACATCCCCAAAAAGAGTCAATAGAAGCAGACTTACACAGGGTAGAGACATTGTAATTAACAAACACAGGATTTTTTTAAAGCTGTTAGAAAGATATTTAACATATTAAATAAAAGCATGGCTTTAATTAATAGACAGATGAGAAATTTTAGTAGAGGAATATAAGCTGTAAAAAAACAACACAATGGAATTTCAGGAACTGAAAAATAAAGCATCTGAAATGAAAAATTGCCTAGATTGGCTTAACAACAAATTGGACACTGTTGTAGTGAGGGAAATAGAAACAATCCAAACTGAAGTCCTGAGGGAAAAAGGGCTGAAAAAAATTAACGAAGCCTCAATTACCTGTAGAACAATATTAACTGGTATACGTGTAAACATGTATTCACAGAAGGCCAGGCTTGAGATATTTAAGCAGGAAATACTTAGAAACTAATGACTTAAAATATCCCAAATTTGAGGAAAAGCCATTAACCCATATATCCAAGAAGTTAGCATATCCCAAACAGGATAAAGACAAAGAAAAAATACCTAGGCACATTTTACTCAAATTATTGCAAACCCAAGATTAAGTGAAAAAATTTTAAAGCAGCCAGAGAGAAAAACACATTACATATTGGAGAATACAATGACAAGAATTACTGTCTGTGTCTCGTAGAAACAGTGTAAGTCAGAAAACAATGGAAAGACATTTTTAAAGGACTTAAAGGAAAACAATGTCAAACTAGAAGTCTATGTCCTATGGAAATATCTTTCAAAAAGGGAGACAAAAAAATATTTTTAGGTAAATTAGGACTGAAATAATGTATCATTGGTAGATCTGTACATGAAATGAAGTTATTCAAACTCAAAGAGATGACATCAGATGAAAATTCAGACTAAATGAAGGAAAGAAAGATGCCACAAATGGTGAGTATGTGATAAAATAAAATAAAATAAAATACTTTCTAGTCTTTAATTTTTCTGAAAGGTAATTGATAACTTAAACTAAAACAGTATATATTACAGATATTAATAGAGTCATTTCATAATGATACGGTGTCAATTGATTAGGAAGATATAACAATTCTAAATACACATGCATCTAATAATAAAGCTTCAAAATACTTAAGCAAAATTCATAAGCAAAACATGACAAAATTAAAGAAGGATTAGAAACAATTATACTTGGAGATGTAAGTATTCTTTTCAAAGTACTTGATGAAGTAAGTATTCAAAAGATCAGTAAGGATACAAAAGATTTGGACAACACTATCAACAACCTAACCAAATTGATATTTAGAAAACATTTCATCTGACAACTTCAAAATAAACAATCTTTTCAAGTGCAAAGGGAATATTCACAAGTCTAAAATCAAAAAGAATTGAAATCAAATAGAGTATATTGTTTGACCACAGGGGAATTAAATTAGAAATTAGTAAGTGAAAGATACTTGGGAAATCAACAAATATTTGGAAAATAAAAAATACTAATGCTCCTAAATCACTCATAAGTTAAAGAACAAGTCACAGGAAAAATTAAAAACTATTTTAAACTCAAACATAATGAAAACACAAAATGTCAAAATATATGGATGAAGCAAAATGGTGCTTAAAATGAAATTTATATCTTTAAATGCTTATATTAGAAAAAGAAAAAGGTATTATCAATGATAAAACTCCAAGTTATAAAACTAAAGAAAGAAGTGCAAATTTAACTCAAAGTAACTAGAAGGAATAAAATAATAAATATAAGAGCACAAATTAATAAAACAAAAAATGATCTATAGAGAAAACCAATTAAAGCAAAAATTATTTCTTTAAAGCATGAATAATTGATAAATCCTTATTTATACTATGGAAGAAAAAAACCCTCAAATTACCAATATCAAGAATGAAAGGAGACATCACTATAGAGTTTATAAATATTTAAATGGTAAAAAGGGAGTAGTATGCCAATAAATTCTCAAGTAAATGACATGAAAAAAATATTTGAAAGACACAAATTAGCAAAACTAATGTAAGAAGAGAAAGAGCACTTGAATAATTCTATACCAATTAGGGAAGTTGAATCCATAATTAGAAATCTTCCCACAAAGAAAACTCCAGGATCCAGTGGCTTCAATGATGAATTCTATCAACAATTTAAGGAATAACAGCAGTGACATAAGTTATCAAGATGGCAACGTAGGTCATTCCAGACTTCGGTCCTTCTCACAAGAAGACCAACCAGCAACTATTCATAAGCAGGACTTGGTTGTGACAATCCCAGAACCTGGGAGTGAAGCTGAAGCACTCCCTAGACCACAGAGACTGTGAAGAACCCCATTAGAAGGGGACGAGGAACAGGCACACTTTGACCACATTGCCTCTCCCCTAGGCCAGCACAGTGCCACAACAAGAAGACCTACAGTTTCTCCAGTGAGAAAAAGAGATCCCAAGATGGCCATCCAGCTCCACCTGCATTGTGGGTTGCTTCCTAGGAGGCCCACTCGAGTCTCACCTCATAAGGATCATGGAGGAAATCTGTGGGGTTTGTCCTCGGGAGATCAAATTGTGATGGAGAAGGGAGACAGAGCTTATAGCAACCAACACAGATCTTGACAGACAGAGTTCATCCTCCCAGTGGCACCCACATAGAAATTCAAACCAGTAGCTTTGCCAGTGACAGTGGTCTCATCTGGTCAGTGAACTAGGTATGTAGTCTGCCTGATACAGGACCCAAAAGGTGAGCTTGGCCAGCGCTGAAGCCTGTTCTGCAGCGCTGCCCAGGCAAGAAAGCTAACTGATAGCCCCACCTACTACTGAGGGCAATCCTCCGCACTGCTGGACCAGGAAACCTGGCCAGATGACCCAGAAAGCTATGTAGCCCAGCTGCACCTGAGCAGAAAGCCCAGCCAGTGGCATTTCCCTTCAGCAGAGCCAAGCTAATGTCTCCATCTGGACAGGGAGTGTTGTGTGTAGTTTGTCTTGATCAGTCTTTAAAGAAAGAGACTTGCCAACCTTTGGAGCTGATCTGTGACCTGATTCAGGCAGGGAAGCTAATTCTTAGCCCCACTCACTGCTGAATACAGCCTCTAGGCCACCCAAACAGGAAACCTAATCAGAGCATCCAAGATGCTGTGTAACCCATCCTACATCCTCACTAACAGTGGCACTTGAGTAGAGAACCTGACCAGTGGCTCTGACCATCTGTAGAGCAAAGTCAGTGGCCCATCTTGCCAGGGAACTCAGTGTGCAGTTCTGCCTAATTTAGGTCCCCAAACAATGAGCTGTGCTGGCCTTGTGGCCCATTCTGCCACCCTGCTCAGGTAAGGAAGGTAATTCATAGTCCAGCCTTCCGCTCATTATACTACCCAGTCCCACCCAACTAAGAAGCTTGAACAGAGAATCCAAGAAGTAGTGGAGCCCATTCTATAGCCACACTTGGGGCAAGGAATCAAGCCAGTCCTATCTAACTATTCTCAGTCAGTGGCACCTTTCCACCTCAGAGCTTGAGCAGTGGTTTCACTCAAAAACAGACTCCAGTAGCAAGCTCCACCTTTTTAAGGACTCTACCAGCTAACCTCTTTACAGCCCCAAGCTACTTGATTGGTGAAGGACTGTTTCTGCCAAAGCAAACCTGTGAAGTTTGGAAGAGGAC